CAATTAAAATTCTATGAATAGCTCGCTGCACCAATTAAAAGAAAACTGAGACAGATCAGCTTGACAACTTATTTTCTGTTGTGTCATACACACATTAACCAACACTGTGTGTGTGTGCGTGTGTGTGTGTGTGTGTGTGTGTGTTAATACCGCAGAGGAGCAGCTCACTCTCTCACACAGGGACTTCTGTAGCTTCATTATAACCACTCAGATGTTTCTATTTTAATCTCAGATTGGATCATTTGATTGTTTCTCAGGGGAACTTTCATACAAATCAAATACGTGTTGTACATGAACACGTGTGACCGAATAAAGTTTCACATTAATTAAACTTCCTGCAAACTTTAACTCCAATTGTTGTTAGTGCAGTGTTTTAAGTATTGCTGATATAATTCCATTGTGTTCAATTTACTCGTTCTATTTAAGCCCCAAAATTAACTGGCTACCATTTTGTCAGCTGTTTTGACAGGTAATGTAATAAATTAGCTTTAGTTGTAACATTTGCATAAAGGTCCATCAAAGTATCATTTCATTCAGATAAATAACACATTTTAAATAAGTTAACTAACTGAGTTAAATAGGTACAATTACCTTATTTTATTAAAGTTAAGTATAACGGATTAAATTGATCAGTTTCCTCAAACAATTTGAGTTAAAGTAACTCTAAGTAAGACAAGCTAACGTTAGAGCTCGTGGAAGATATTATATCTTATATCTATAGCCCGGTAACGTAGCAATGATGATTGTCTAGATAGCTAACGTCAGCTAGCTTCATCTACCGGACTACCGGAGCTGAAACAAATCCTGACGTGTAAAATATAGACGAATGAAGCCAGAATATGGAATATCGGGTTACAGCCACTCGGAGTCTGCGCAGTGGCGATCGGGGTCGGAGCGGCGGTATCGAAGGTCTCAGCTGTCGCATTGTGTACACCGACGTCCAAACGCCCTCTGCATCACGCAGCAGTGTCCTGAGAGACGATTGTTTTTTCCTAGGATGGCGAAGACATGAAGTCACATTTTCTTGAGTGGATTAAAGATGAATAATAATTGCATATAGTCGTCTCACCCGTCTGGAGTTAAGAGTTTACTTCCTTCTTCAGGCACCTTCACAACACTGCCTGACACCCGCTTATCATAGCTTCAAATATAATTAAAACCAAACTGATCAGGAAGAAATGCGACTCAACAATCATCTATCTCTCTCGGCTCTGATTGGTTGTTTTCCAGCCAAAGGAAGCTGATCACAGATTATCTTTCTCATGAACTGATGTCAGGATACAGTCAAAGTTTTTATAAAAACGACCTACTGCAGCTTTAAAGTTATTGTTCAATATTAAAAAAGGGTATCATCAGAAAGTCTTGGTGCTGAATCTCATTCACATTAACGGTGCGAGGAAGAAGCAGGAAGCTTCGACGGGGTCAGAACAGGACAGAAAACATGGCCGACAGCATCGCAGCCAAAACATTAAAAAGAAAAACACATACGACTGATTGGATGTCAGACTTCAGCAGATGGTGGGATGGAGGAAGAGACGGGGAGATATAAAGGGATGGAGAGCAGGTTGAGCCTCAAAGAGGGGTGTAATGTTTCATTGAGAGGGAGAGGAGGGGGGCGAGAGACAGCCAGAGTGAGTGGGAAACAGAGAGAGAGAGAGAGGGGGAGAGAGAGAGAGAGGGAGAGAGAGAGAGAGAGAGAGGGGGAGAGAGAGAGAGAGGGAGAGAGAGGGAGAGAGAGGGAGAGAGGGGGGGAGAGAGAGGGAGAGAGAGGGAGAGAGGGAGAGAGGGGGGGAGAGAGAGGGAGAGAGAGGGGAGGGGGGGAGGGGGGGAGAGAGAGAGAGGAGGGAGAGAGAGAGAGAGAGAGAGGGGGAGAGAGAGAGAGAGAGAGGGAGATAAGTGGATGATGATGGACAAGATTGAAAGAGGAGTGTTGGGTTTCATTCAGACGGAGAGAAAATGTGTTTATGAGAGAGAGAGAGAGAGAAAGAGAGAGAGAGGGGGGGAGACGGGTGAGAGAGATCGATAGACTGAAGGAGGTGAGAGGAAACGTCCTTGAAAGCATCGTGCTGCCTTCACATAACGAGGGGAAAACCAGGATATCTGACACTGAATATGAAGCCTCTCCCTCGTTCCTCCCTCCTATCCTCCCCTCTCTCTCTCTCTCTCTCTCTCTCTCCATCGTCCCTCGTCTCCACGCCGTTCAGGTTTTTATCATCGTCACTTTTTTGTTTCTTGTGTTTGACGTGAAGAGACTTCACCTCTTTGAATCAGTGTGTGTGAATACAAGCAGCCAGAGGACAGACGCAGTACTGGAGGCTGTAGAGACGCCCTGCGGGAAGACAACTGAAGACTTTACGTCACATGAAGTGCACTGGTCGTCTGCTTTCTTTAAAGATCCCCTCCAGACGTCTGTTCATGAGACCCATACTGACATTTAAAGGGAAGAATCAGTCAACCAGCTGTATCTGACATTGCTGTTAAGGTTTCTCGTTTTCTCGTC